TAGCACTGTTTTCTTTCTTCTTGTCAGTTTATGATTGGGAGCCAGCTCCCTTCTCGCCATGTTGTCAGTTGAAGTTTGCCGGACTACATTGTTCTGCTTAGGAAAGTTCACACAAATACGACGGGTCAAGGAAATTTATTGAGAAACCTGGTTATCCACAGAACTACCTTAATCGGAACTGTCGAAGCCCACAGATATTAAAAGAATTTTGTTTGCTTCTTTCGTGCATGACGCCAATAGCAGATCACTAGAACCTTAATGTAAACGTTCTCTAAATTGCAAATTTTTAGACAGCTTAGAAACTTGAACTTAAGATTGGTTTTCAAATGAAGGTCGTTAAACGAAAGCTAAGGTTATAACTCTGGCCAATCACGAGAGACACGTGTGACGCAATAAGCCAATCACAACGCAGTACACGAACATTCAACCTTGCAGGAAAGCGCACGTAATTCAAGACACAGGGCAATTCCTCTTTGGCTGTGATTGGTTGAAACATGACCCACAAGAGTTTTTTAAACAATTAACTGTTGAACAGCCAAACCACTGCAAGCCTGTAACTGTCCACAGCCTTTGAACGCCGCTGCCTCAAAATAGCAGTTTATAAAGTGTTTTGATTAGATTTAATTCATTAAAAATGACGTTTGAATCAGCCGTTTACGTTAACTAACAGGTCTTGCTGGTTGTTGTCAACGGCGCTTTTGTTTTTATGTTTGCAAGAAAACTTGATTTGGATAAATGTGGATCCGACGTCGCATTTCATTTTTCTTTTTGTGTATTAGAATCCGTAGAGTTTTATTTTTCTATCACAAATGTTTCACCCAATGGGAATTTTCTCAAGCAGGCAAAATACTTGCTTGCGACGCATTTTGCTTACTTTCGATTATCTTTGACGAGCGAAGAAAAGCAATCAGTAACACCATAGACTGAAAAAAATGGCGTTTGTTATCAAAGTGAACACATTTATAAGCTCTCTTACCTGTTAACTGATGCGTTCGTAATATGTGAGTCTATATCATCGAACAATTTTCCATGTACTCAAAGATGCGCCTTACAAGTTAATTTTCAACTGCGAGAATGCATAGGTATTAACCGCACAAAGTGCGCGTGCGCAAGAAATCATAAACTATCGGAAAACTGTCGTAAGTTAACTCAATCTCGTTCCAGACTCTCTGGGAACTTTCGCTATCCTATAAGGACTCGTGATTAATTCGTAAAAAAAAGCCGGCATTTTGGGTAAAAACGCAAAACAAAGCGCTTTGGCTGCAACTTTTTTGTAGCAAAATGAAAAAGTCAGTTTGAGTTTGAGTTTTACTCCAAATAACAAAGAATCTTTCAATTGTTGTTGGTCATAAAACCTTGATTGAAACTATTCGGAAGTTTAAACAAAAAAGTTCAACGTGACCAAGATATGCGTTCACTTCCCTTCAGTTGAGTCAAATGAAGTCGACGTGCGGGGTTATGCTTATTACTGTACAGTGGAGAGCAGTACAAGAATCATAATTTCAGATTGAAAGAATGTTACGCTGTATTTTTTGACTTGTTCTTTAACTATTTGAGTCATTCCCACCAGTAAGATTTCCAGATATTGTCCGGTTTAAGAAAGAAACATCGTATGATTAGCGGTTTACTGAAAACCTTCAATAGAAATAATAAAAATGTAGATCTCAAGCCAACTTTGAATGTGCAAACTGACTCTATCCGCGGGAAACTATTTACGTGAGATTACAAGCAAATGTCTATTTTATTATATGGAGAAGAGTGTTTTACTGGGAACTAAACCACTCGTAGATTCCATACGCCACTTCACCCGGGACCCGAGTGGCGTATTTTCCGTATGTCACCTTTGTGAGTGTCGTNTATATATCAGTTCAACACCGCGATAAAACTGTCATTTTCACCTTGACAATGACATCAGCGACATCGAAACGTCGGACAACTATAATTTTAATATTTCTGCTGATAGAGAAAATAAACAAAACACATCGACACTTTTTTCATTTTGTTCGTTTATTCACAGTTCAGGAAACGATGGTGTAATATATGAAACCATGTGTGCAACACGTGCTCTTGTATACTTGTCCTGTGCTCTGCCCACCTATCACGTGCCAACGGGGTCATGGCGGGGTACAGATTAGTTGAGCTGGATCAGTGAGATAGACATGCTGAGTGGAAATAAGTTTCTGTTGGGCCAGGTTAGCCACACATTTGGGCACTACCTTGAAAAAGAACTGAGGAGATGAAAAAACAGTGTTATTAGTAAGACAATACTGGACCACTTTCTGTGATTCAACGCTATCTGTTCTCGTTTCTTAATTTTCTAAGATTTAAAAATAATTTGGTGAATAGAATATCGTTTCCCCCTCCTCTTCCCCCACCAGTACGCCCTCATTACCCGACATTTGGAAAAATACCCACCGGTCCTATACATGAAACCAAGAACTTAGATGAAGATATAATTTTAGTGTTGTTGAGAAGCGGATCAGTACTACCTGGAGATATTGTGCAGGAGGGTGTTCCCAAAAGGGACTTGTGATATTTGCAAGTGTAGCCCATCCAAACGACTTCAGCCGCTGAGAAGCCTGGTCGTACAGCAGAAACACAGGCAGCACCTGATCACAATGCATCTCTGGGGAAATATCATACCAGTAGTGGACCCCTGGAATATAAGGAGATTCTGAGTTAATATTGCAGTTTGATTTCACATCATTGGCAGGCAAACTACAGAAGTGAAATAATGAAGGTCTGCGTGCAAGCTTAGTGGCCAACCAGACATTGAGTATATTTATAGTTCTGTAGCATAAATCGTTTAAGAGCAGTCAGTTTCAGTTCCCCTATAAGATGTTAGTCCGCTGCAGGGTCCTCTTGGGATTAATTCGCCGGTACCCATTTATACACCTGGGCGGAGAGAGGCACTGTGAGAGTCAAGTGTCTTGCCCAAGAACACAACACAATGTCCCCGGCAGGGGTCTGAGCCCGAATCACTCAGTCCAGAGTAGAGCACACTAACTTTAACTTTAGCTTTGAAGTTGCACTACCGTTTACCGGAGGCAGGTAACGAAAATACGAAATAAATCACCAGCTCGAAAATATTATTTGATGAAAGATCAAATTATCCAAGCCAAGGTTAAATGAATTGTACAGCAATCGGTAAGGAGAATTTACTCTTCTATCCTATGACTAAATAAAGTGGTTCAACAACATCATTTACCCCAAAATGTCACCGCAAAATTTCTAACCCAAAAGGTCCTCGGTAATTCCTCGTCCCTATTACACCTGACTAATCTATTCGGGATTAAAATTGTTCAAATACATCTCACCCATCCTTGTGAAACATCTGCCCTTGACCCATTTGGTGTTGCCCAGTTTCTTCTCGTCCAGCGGTATTTCCATGAACTGGGGCTTGCACCATCTGACGTCACTCATTTGAAGGACAAGAGTGTCCCCGTCTTTCGCACTGCGTCGATGTCTCTTCTTCTTGCAGATGTCTTTCGGCTTGTTGGTGAAGTAGGCCGTGAGCAAATAGTTGCCATGGTCGTCTGGGACAAACGCTGATGACCGGGGTCGGATCGGTGAGGGAATCAAATCGTCCGATTCGGTGATCTAGAAGAAAGGGAGGGTAAAGAATTCATTGTGTAATTCATACGTAAATGCTAAAGAATTTTTTATAGACAAAATGATGTATTTTGGTCACAAGCAGGGTCGTGGCAACTTTTGAAATTTAGGTAACACCTTTTCGGATTTTTGGCAATTCTTTACCAACTTTTTGGCATTTCAGTAAGCAACTTCCTAGCATGTTTACGGACAGGCCTATTCGGAGAGGTGGGAATACATTCCCACCCGTGCGAAAAAAGATGGAAGGGGTGCCCTCTCCGCCGCACCTCACTGTGAAAGGAAGCTAGGAATTGAATTCTCCTACTGAGCATTTAATTGAAGAAGTGATCTTACCGTTGCTTGTATACCGGCCAGTTTTCCACTGGAATCAAACAACAGTCGCGTGGAAATATCACTTCCTTTGGCGTATCGGTTGCCATAAAATGGATTATTGGAATCTGTAAAGAAGCAATAAAAGTTCGTTAGAAAACAAGTTTATAGAGAAGTTTAAATGCTGTACTCCGAAAAGTCTCAACTCGAAAGGTGAATTGGAACTTCGTATAATACCACACGTGGCGTCATTCATCCATCCTTCGTTCAAAGCTTGGTCCTCTGTCAGGGGAAAGGCTGTCGGTTTAAAGAAATTTACTGCAAGAAAAAAAAAATGTTACACTTATTAAAATTGAAAATTGCACTTCTAATGAGGTTTTCAAGGGAGGTCTCTGCATCAGTGTTTCTGTGCGAGGTCAAGTGTTGCACAGCTTAAAACCTTGAATCATTTAACTGAATAACTTACCCAGCAAGCGATCCCAATTGTTCCCTATTTAAGAATAAAAAAAGAGGAAAACACTTCGTTAAAGAAGAATCTTAATTACTATACAATTGTAATCTTTTGGAGTTGGAGGGCGAGAGTTAATTGTAATCTTAAAACTGTTCTATTTAATGCGGCGTTGTGCCATTGTGTTTTCTTCAAAGCATTACAAAAAACACAGAATTAGGAACAAATCGAATGAATATTTAATTCAAAATTATAAACGTTTAAAATGTATGAGCCTATGAACGAGTTAAGTCTAGATAATATTTGCTAAGGAAATTTTAAAATTCTTCACAATACGTTCAAACGACAAGAAATTAAAAGATCTTTTCATGCAATGTGAACTGATATAAAGCGTCAACATGATAGATGCTATAGGAATTACAAAGTAAGAGCGATATTAATTACGAAGATCTTTGTTTAAATCATCTTCCTTTGGCCTCTTTATTAGCGCTAGCATAGCATTAAATAATCAACGTTCAATTCAATCCGGAAGACAAAGAGATTTTGACGATAGCGACCATCCCATGCACTGAATGTGACAAATGCGAGTATCGAATATTGACAGATCTTGTTCTTCGAAGTTCTTTTTTAGGAAAAAACACAAGCATTGCAAATGTTTGTATTAGTGTGTGGAAAAGAGATGGTACAATGGTATATGGACGTCTTTAAACGGAAGAATTCGATAATTATTAAGGCAGGTTTAATCCTGTTGCCTCCCGTTTTTGGCAGATTTAAAAGCAGCATTTTTGGCTCGTTCATGTGGTACAGGCCAAACAGATGGTTAAACTATAGCACATTTTTTCCGTGAAGCTCTGGCTGGTTGGTCAATCTTTTGTTACTTCCTTTTCGAGGTTCTTCAATTTTACATTTTGGTTTTTTTCTCGTGGGAAAACAGGAACTAATCTTTTCATGGTGGAAGAACTAAACAAACTTCGTTTTGTCTGATTTGTAAATGTAATGAAATTCTCTTTAATTATTTTTCCTTTATTGTTTAGATATCTTAATTACTATCTAAATCATTTCGGAAACTATATCAACTCAGCAGTATACAAATAATGGACTAATTAAAGAAAAAGAACAAACAAACTGCCTTTACTAGCTTTTCTTCCAGACTTTTCAACATTTTTAATTTATTTTTCAGTTAGTTCCAGGTTATGTTTAAAAATTAATTTAAACATCGTTATCAAACTCCTTGAAAAGGTCATTAAAGAGGGCAAGGTTTGACTGAAAAATTGGACAGGAGACTGAAAATAAGTTAAGGAGTCTAACGCGACTAATTCCAAAAAGAGCACTTCCAAAATCTAGATTTCAATTTTTACTTCATTTTCTCGATCGACACCCGCGAGTAAACAAACGAGTTGCCTGACAACGTAGCTGAACCGAAAACATGTAGTGCAGCAACGGTGCTCGCAGAACATGAATGTACCAAGGCATCCTACCAAGAATCGGCTACAAATTATTGAAGTAGACANAACAACGGTCAAGTAATTTACACATATTTCACTGAAGAACTAGTTCCTAGGAAACGCAGCACCTGCGTACACATCAACAACGGTAAGAAAATGCAACATTTTTTAAACACCTAAAATATTCCAATATTATATTTCGAATGACCCAACACCTATTTCTCAAAACATTACCATTAACTTTTTACCCATTATTACAACGAATAAATATGGTTGGGAATTTATATCTTGCTTGCATTTTTATTGTTTTACAGAGTATGTTTATGATTTTTTTCGACCAAACGGTCTGTCAAAAAAAATAGTTTCAAATTGGAAGTTTGGGAATTGAGGCCAATAGTGTCATCATTCGAACAAAAGCGCTACTTAACAGGACTTTAGCATGATATTTTGTGACAAAAAAACTGGGCTGTTTTGGAAATTTTGAACAGTTAACATCAAAATATTATACTAACCTTTATGTCCGCAGCTCGCAACAATCTCTACGTAGAACACCGCAACGCCAAGGAGGAAAAAACACGCTTTCTTTGACATCGTTTAGCTATTTTCCCCTTTTTGATTTTGCTAACTAGCAGCTTCTCGATGAGATACGCTTTAACTGCGAATTAAAAGTGATTTGAATTAAAAGTATTGTTGGGCGTTTGTCCATAAAAAGTAAACTTCAAACTTTTGACGAGCAAGCAAAATATATGAAACAATCTGATTGGTCAATATAGTGACAGACAACCGTTTGTCTGGATTGGAGGTAGCTGACGATTGAGAAACCCAACCTGAACTAACAGAGAATCGACATTTTAGCTGAAAACAGAGAAAGGAGGGGCGACATCAAGATTTTTCAGTGGCCACTTTTGCCACCATAACTCAACAAACAAATTGAAAAGAAACAAATTAACAGTCGACGAAACGTTTTCATTGATAAATTAGATACGTTAAAATGAAGCCAACAGCAAACAGCAAGTAAAAATAAAAATTTTAACCGGTCTTTACCAAAACGTGAGAATATTTGTATTTGTTGTGAATAGGAGATTTCAACAAAATGTTGTTTTTATATTTTTGTACTGGATTGATTTAAGTATCAGAGGAAAATAAAATGAAATCAGAGGCAATTTTGGCTGTTAGTCGTAAACGTCATTTTTTCACAATCAAACTTTCACTAATGGCCAACAAAAATCTACAATGTTTCACCAAGAAACTAATTTGCCTGGCTTAATTATGACAACATGACAGGTTACAACAGATAAATAGTCAAATGTTTTCACTATTTAATTGTCACTATTGATCAAAACTGAACTAAAAAAGCCAAGATAACATTTTAAACTGATAATTTGCGTTATCACCCTACCTGACCATCCCAATGTGCTGCTAAGAAAAAGCCAAACTTTTACGGAGTGAAAACCCGCCGTGACGAGGAACAATCGAATTCCAAAGCGAAAACAGCGGTTATCCTAGCCAGTCAGCGGTGATTTTTGGTCTTAATACAACGTGACACCCTTTTAAACTGCTTGAAATAGAAGGTTTAATCAGGAGCTATCCCGTCAGCCCCAGGCCTCCGGCATGAAGCCAGCGAAGGCTTGGTGTGCGTTCTCAGCAGACAGCTTCGACAACAAAGATTTTCTCGGTTGCATGAAGACGGTTGTTCAAGAGCGCGTGTCTAGTTGCCGTGTCTAGTTACTAACCTCGTCTTCTGGGTCCGTACTGTAAGTTACGGACCGAGTTTTTTCTTCTTCGATATATAACGCCCAAGCGCCAAGCGCGCGGGCCATAAATCGAAGGTGGAAAAAAGAGGATTCATAATTTACTGTACGTACGGACCAATCACAGCGCGCGTAGTAACTGAGGAATATAATACAACAACAATAAACTGGCAGAGCTTAAACCTTATCGCATTGTGAGTGACATGGTCTCCGTTCGTGTGACCTCTGTTGTACTAAAGCACCTATATCGAGTATGTCGTTCTGCACCGGACTGTTAATGATGGGCAGATAGTTACCTCAGTAGATACCGAAATGGATATAACATCTAGCTTTACTTAAGATTGATTCATACAACCTCTTCATACAACAAGAAAATATTATCCGATGAGTTAGGCATTCATTCATTCATTCATTCAGTCATTGTTTCATTCATTCATTCGCTCGTTCGTTCTTCGTTCGTTCGTTCGTTCGTTCATGCATGCATTCATTCATTCATTCATTCATTCATTTATTCATTCATTCATTCATTTATTCATTCATTCATTTATTCATTCATTCGTTCGTTCGTTCGTTCTTCGTTCGTTTGTTCGTTCGTTTGTTCATGCATGCGTGCATTCATTCATTCATTCATTCATTTATTTATTTATTTATTCATTCATTCATTATATGAAGTTATCAGCGGCTATGAACAATCCCGAAACCCTTAAAGGCTGATTTGGCATCAATAAGGCATCGATTATTTTGAGGTTTCATAAAAAAAAAACGCTATCCACTAAAATATTTTTAAAAACCCCAGGTCAAACGGACTCGTAAGTAGACCTAAGTTGATAACTTGGGTCCACTTGTGACTCCGTTTGGCCAGGCCTAACGTGCACTTGCGTTGACTTGCGCTCACGTTTGTCGAGATCAAATTGTCACGCAGGTCAACGTAAGTTTTCCACCGTTTGGTCACCCAACCCAAGCCAACGCCAGTTGAGTGACGTCCATTTGCGTGATGGTCACATTTTGGCCCGGCGGGACTAAGCCCGTAGCATTGAAATGGGCTTTTTGCGACTTGCGTGTACTTGCGAGTCCGTTTGGCGACTCAACGCAAGTCTCTACGCAAGATAGTCAAATTCAACTCGCGGCTTCATGCGAGTCAGTTTGGTCCGGGCTTTAGATTGTTATGCCGGAAAAAATATATCGCCATGGTTACCTAACTGAACCTAAGAAAGGTCGGGTGACCGAGTAAATATTCTTGCTGTTTACTCTTTAATAACCAATCAGACACAAGCACGCGCAGTTCTTATTTTGAACATGTGTTGTCACGCTAACTCGCCTCATGTAGGCTAGTAATGGAAGTGGGAAAGTTGTAAGAATTAAAAACTTGTAGGGGCTCAAAGAAAGATGAGATACGTTCTCTGCAATGATTCTAAACGCATCTTGAAAATTTTAGCCTAAATTTTTCAAGTTTGTCGTTTGTAATCTGCGTCAATCTTCGCGTCAATCTTGTTCCTTCACGGTTTATTATAATCCTTTGGTATTTTTTATCTTAGTAAATTATTATTTTCGGGTTTCCTTCAATTTGAAGGTAATTTTGTACGTGCCGGGTCAAAATAACTCAGAATACCGTCATTGAGCTCCTTTAAAACAGGAGAAGAAAATAGTAAGTTGTCCTTCCCTCTCTTCAGCCAACGCTCTTTTCGGGCATCGTCGCATAAATCTGTAACCAAGAGCTCAATAAAGTTTACAACTGATACTTGTGGGTTTTTTTTACCAGAAATCCCGCCAGTTACTAAGCTTTAAGACCGAATGCCAATATTTTGTGGTAATATTTGATTCATACACTCGTTGGCTTATCATATCCTGAATAATATTCTCGCCTCTTGCGCTCCGCTATTCCTCGTGCTTCGCAAAGGCAGGAAATGGAAATAATAAACGAAGTGAGGTCAAAAATTGAACCAGACTTGTACGTGGAAGTGAAAACATTCAGTTTTAATGGGTAAAAGGTTACATATCAGACTAATAGTTCGCTCTCTAAAAATTTAATCTTTTAGAATTATCGCATAATGTTTTTAACCGGTTTATCATGGTTTTTATTCATGTCGTTTTTGCTGAGTGCTTCTCCTGGTAGAGAACCAAGTGAACTGCAACAGCTGCAGGAGGCCTTCGCCTAAGCGCAGGTTATCTTAAGAGGATCCACAAAATAAATGTGTTGGACAGACACTGTGCTGTAGTTTTTCAGACAAGCAGGAGTTGACTCAGGCTTTAGGAATCTCTGCAAAACATGCAAGCCATGGCGTTATTACAAAAAAATATCCGAAACAGCTTTACAAACCACAGCTACGAGAACGATCCATGGTAATTCTAAGGCTCGTTTACAAGAGAAAGGTCCTTTATCTTTCTGGCAAGCTTAGCCGCAAAGAAAAAGTCGCTTCATGCCCTGCTGAATTAACGCGAACTAAGTGCGTGCAGAATTCTTTGCGGTACAACTGTGTCTCTTAATACTAAGGGCTTGTTTCTATTCAAGACGGGGAGGTGAATATAAAAGTCCTCATAGCTTGCCATGTAAGGAAAGGGGACTTCGAAGACGGCGGGCTATTGCATTAAAAAATGAAGTTTCCAGTAGAGGGGTGAAGTTATTCATGTAGAGAGGAGGCTTTTGAATAGAACTTTTATAGCAAATATGAAAATCCATCTCTGTGTGCTCACCGCAAAAAGAGAAGGGGGAGGTTTCTCCCATTCAGTACTTGGGACATCAATCGGTCCTGCCCATCCAAAACCAATTAGAGATTTTGTTTGCTCGCTGAACAGCAGGAAGATCGGCAAGGCCTTGTCACAGTCAAAATCAATCAAGGTGTTGTAAAGGTAGTGACGTCCTGTTGAAACAGTCGAACATTATTAAGATACTTGAACTCTCATGCATTTGAAGACGAATTAAAGATTCGAAGAGTCGAACCTTTCCGAGGGGGAGGTGCGCGTACATCCCTGGGGCCACCGTTTACGGAACGTTCCCAATACCCGGGGGGGAGAAGATGAGACGGGGGAGAGAAGTATTCAACACTTCTTATTGGCTAAAAAACAGGTCAGCTTCCGAAAACTTACCCATTGCTTTGACGCAGGGTCCCTCAACCCACGGTGCGCCGGCGAACTGGTCCGTGTTCAGCGGTATCACCATGACGTCCTTCTTTTTCCGGAAGTCAGCCATCTGGATCCACAGTCGATCTCCTATTGGCGGCTTTTTCGGCGCTCGCTTTTTATACTTTCCATCGCAGACGCAAATTTGTCGAGGATCACGGAAGTAAGCAGTAAGAGCTACACGTCAATCAACTGTTGAGATCCACGGCGGCTCGATGTGGATGGTGGGATAGCTGTCTGTTCGATCGATCTGAGGGACAATCAAAGATATACAAGCTAATCAAAGGCTCTTTGAGCCAACTCGTGTGTTTACAGATACAGATAATCTTTATCCACGGTAAACAGATTCGTCAGCTTTAAAAAAATAACTAATACCTCATACCTAATACAATGCAATATTTGAATGAAAACTGAACTACTTTTCACGAATGCCGTGCCTTACTGAAACTAACAGGGTTTTTTTCCTACTGTAAACAACTAAAAGAATTTACAAGATTATAATTAAAAATGAAAGTCTTTGAGTAGGCGTTTGAATTGCCCAAGGGATTCTCCTTCCCTTACATCGCAAGGAAGACTGGCGCCACTACAGCTACAGTTTTTTTTTTTTGGAAACAAAAATTGCGGAAATGGATCACAACGATTCAGAGGAGTCTGCCAATATTGAAAATGTTCAAGCCATAAAGGTAACGTAATTTTATAGGAAAATGAGGCAGTTGGAGATTTGAAATAATTCGCGGAAGAAAAATACTTTTCGAGCGTGAAACACTTGCAATTAAATTTTTAGCAACGCCTCGGTTAAAAACTGTCCAAGCTATTGATTAATCATGGTATATTGAACGGAGTGGAGTCCAATTTGGTCTGAAATCATACACGTGATTTCAAAATCGAATCAACGTGCAAGTATGATTTCAGACCAAAATTGCTCGACCCAAGGGTCAGTTACATGTATCAATTTATTACTTCCAGTTCGGAATTGCACAATTTAATTGCCTTAATACAGGATTTTGGTCAGTACCAATATTTTATTGATCCAGTAGCCGGTTTGCCAAGAAAGCAGAACCGCAAACGCTTTTAAATCTCTCTTTGTATGCAAAAGAGAAAATATGTGATTTAGAGCAAAAAATAGTGTGACTCCAGAATAAATTGCACTGCTAAGAGCCAATCAGATTGGCAGCCATTTTGCTTCACAATGTTCTTTATGAATAATTCATAAAGTTTACGTCGACAGAGAGCTCTTTGTAGTTTCACTCAAACATTACATAAACATCTATCCTTACAGTTGCCTGTATTCCAGCTATGCTGCCATCAGTGTCAAAGATGACTCTTGTAGCATCATCATCTGCTTTGACGTAACGATTGCCGTAGAAAAAGTTGGAGCGACCTGGGCAAAATGTGGAAATTTAAAAAGACACGTTCAGAGTGCTAGTGTCGTAAAAAGAACCATTGTAACCTCGTCCCCAAGGCCTTCTCCTAGACGATTTTCAAACTGGCGGCTCTTCGAGAGAAGATTCTCCCTACCGCCATTTTGAGAAGTGGAGAAGACCCAGGCTCAGAACCACTGAAACCGCCTGGTCTAGAAATTCAATGTACGACAGAGAATGAATGACAATAAATTGAATAATATTCTAAAATTTTAAGTTAAAAGGTAAAATTTAAAAGATAAGTTAAAAGTTAAAAGTTAAGTTAAAAGTTGATCAATAAAGAGACTTAAAAGTCTCTTTATTGATCAAGTAAGTAAGAGCTAAAACTGGTCAGATCGGAGAGAAAATGAAGACAAGTGACTGACCGACACAGAGGCTGAATTCCAGTTTAAACTCAGTTTACACAAAAACCCTGCTAAATTGACAAGCCGACTAAGAGATGTTACCAAATGTTTATAATGCACGCTCAGACGTGTGGTTCGTTAAAATCGTCCTTAAAATTATTGGGTAATGAAATTCAGATTTTTATCACAAATTGAAGAAAAAGAGACGTTGGTAGTAACGAAGAGCATAACAGATTTCGAGAAATTATTGAGGAGTAACAAATGAAATATACTCTGTCGTTTACCTGAGCAACTGGCATCTTTTTTCCAGCCTGCCTTCTCAGCTTGTCTAGCAGTCAGTGGATAAGAGGTAAATTTGCCAAATGTTACTAAAACGACAAACAAACAAAAATCATAACATCACATCATCATATGTGCTGTAGCATGTGTAAATCTTCGCCAGGATTGTGCTATTTAATGGAGTGACTTGCACCCGGGGGTCTCCCACATGAAAAGGACGAGGGGTGCTACCAAGATCCTGTTTTGTGGGTGTGGCTTGAAATTTTTTTCCCCCTAAGAGGTACCAATTCTAAAACAACACATTATCTCCTGCCATATTTTTTTTTCCGCTCAATACCCCAAGAGATACCACAAAAGATACCAAAACCGCTTTTTAACCCCTAAAGGGTACGAAGAGCACCCCCGTCCTTTTATATGGGAGACCCCCCCTGGGACTTGCACCGTTGATAAGGTTATTTCTAATTGGCCACACGAAACAATAGATAAATAACACAAACAATGCCTCTAGCCCTAGGATCTAAAGAGATGCAGATTAACAAGAACGAATTAAAATAGAGGTCTTAAAGTAGTGCAGATCATCAACCGATCTTCTGACCTAAACGTTCAACATACAATTCCGTTAGCTTTAGAATATCATGAAAGGCTTTGTCATGACTAACCTCGCAGCTGGTCCCATGTCGGTGTACCTAAGAAATAAAAAGGGTTAACAACGGCTGTTACACCAGAAAAGATTACAATCCTTTTCTAGGACTCCTGAACCACCCACAGAAGTGTTTTGAGACATGCTCATTGCGGCTTAGTATGCAGCACGCTGCGGTCCTCTTATAGGTTTCATTTAGAAAAAAAAAACAATCTAAAACTTTATCCGAAATCTTTTCGCCGAATTTACGAGGTTTAAGCATGCACTCCGTTTTAATTCTCGTTGAATTAATAGTAAAGGGAATTGAGCACATGGGTATATGTTCGTTCTGATGTCCTCAAGAGACCTGGGGCCCGTTTCTAGAAAGCCCCGGAAACTTTTCGGGTCCGCAAAACCATTTTTAATTAATCTGTATTAAAAAACAGCGGGTATATACGCCTGAAACTTTTTGTATGAAGAGAACCTCTCTTCATATTAAAAATATGTGAACAAAACAGCTCTGAAGTCATAAGGTTTGAAATTTTGCTAAGGCTTTCCGGGTGAGAAAACTTTTCGGGACCTTCGAGAAACGGGCCCCTGCTTTTTAATTGACCTAAGCCGGCTTCTAAAAAACATTTTTCGATTTAAAAGAGTTTTTCAGTTTCTTGGCTGAAAGCAAGTGCCACTGGAGAGGGAATTATGTTTGGAACATTTATTTATCTAGACCCATCTACGGTATTATAGTTTATAACTGTTATGTCAAATCTCAGTCAAAGCTCTCCAACTGTGCATGTTCAGCTGGCAAGCTCCCTAAATAAACAATTTTCTTCAACTAAACGCCTATTTGATCTGGCCGTGAGAAAAATCGCACTTCTTGCGGATAAGTCAAAGTGCATAGTGATGTACTTACGGGCTTTTTTATTGTGTTCTCTCCATTTAAGGTTTGTTGAGGTTTACATGTTACTATAGTGGAAAAATTGTTCTAAAAACAATCTTTAATTCAACATTTGGTAAAATGCACAACGTTTGCCCAAATAAATATGTTTTAGTAAGATATGGTGCATTTTGCTTCTTGAAATCCAAGCGACGGAAGAGATGTATGTATTTATTTATTTCAATGCATGAAAGTGTTATTTATTTCAAAGAGAGATGACTACTATGTAATTCCACTATGCCCCAATGTCTAGGCGTTCTTAGAGCTGAAAGATGGAAGCTACAAATAAACTATGCCTGCTACTAAACAGATGTTTTTGAAATATGCCCTGTAAAAGATTCTGTTGTTATTCTACTGTTAAAAAATCTGTCCGGCATCAAATGCGAACAGTTACTGGTTTTAAACTACTGTCGAAAGCAAGTGTCGTATTCGGTCAAGCTTGTAAAAGCAGAAACTTACCTTGAGGGTAACAGAAGAGAGGAAAACAAAATAGCAACAAAGAAGCTTTCCACATTGCTATGTCTTTCGAAGTTCTATACCAGCTGAAGTTCACAAATAGGCTGAATAAAACGGGTCGAGCCTTTTTGCTTTATGATATTCAGTGCGAAATGTCGTCTAAAATGGCGCGGGAAGAAAGATCTAAGACCGAATAAAAACACGCAATGTCGGTGTACCGTAAGGAGTTACACAATCAGTGATTCTCAGAGGTTTTAAGTATTAACCATTGTTATTGCTCGTTGTTAGTGCGATAAGTCATCATCAGAATAAATTAAGGTAGAAATTTTATTGTTTGATTTTAATGTTCGCTTAAAATTTGTCTTTATTACAAAGTGTTTTTAGAGCGGTTTTCAATTGAGTCTCGTAAAACCGAAATCAGAGTTATCACTCCAGCCAATCACAAAGCACGCTGACAATCAAGTCAACCAATCAAAACTCGAATTAATTACATGTAGAGCTTACATGTAGCTGACGCAAAGCGGGAGAAAACTTGCGCGAAATAGTCACGATTAGTTTTGGTTTTACTTTTGATTGGTTGAATTAGTTTGGCGGGTTTTTTAAGCCAATCGTGTAACGTTGTGTTACACAATCAATTACTTTTCGACACTCAAATGAAAATCAATTTTATGATCGTGTTTTTTTAGCATATACCACGGGCAGTTGATGTCAACCTATTCTCGTTTGGAAGAAATTAGAAGTCCATGCTACTCACATAGACATGTACAAACATCGATAAGCTTTTACAAATTGCATTTAAATGCCCTTTAAATTATACTGGTCAACACCAGCAGTTAACAAAAATAAGCCGCAGTTTAACAGAGCGGAAAAATATCACATTTTCGAGAAATATCCTCATTAATTTCCCATTTAAAAAATATTCTAAAACGGTGCTCAAATTTTGGCGAACTTAGCCGGATACGATACATTGATAATAATTAAAATGCAAATAAAAAACACTTTTATATTAAAATGCATTTTTGCCATCACGGAATCGAATAGTCTTAGAAATTTACACTGTAATTTCTGTCAGTAATTAATTTGTTTGACCAAAAGAAGACAACTGTATATTGTGCCACTGTAGTGGCGAATCTAGGGGAGCCCCGCCCCCCTTATTTTGGGTGAAAAAAGAAAAAATTACAGCAGGACGAAAAGCCGGCGGAGCAAGCAAAACAAAATTTTTGTCATGTTATCAAGGAAAGTAACTTAAATGTGGCACGTTTTGCGTAATGCACTCGGATACCTACCCCACCCAGACCCCCCATTCCGGCATAGCTCAGTGATTAATTGAAATTAATTAATTAAACAAACATTAAATTTTACACCTTATGGCCTTTTGGCGTTAGTGCTTAGTGCCTTAGCGAACAGCAGCCCCCTAAACCATCCCAATAGTGCGCTCTGCACTAAAAAGGGGAAAAAACTGAAGAAAAAGAGTAAAACATAGTAGTGACTTTTGGAAAAGATTCTAGTCTGTTCCACAAGGCTTATATGTTATGTTGGAAGGTTAGCTATCGGATTTGCCGCGTCACCGTAAATTGAAACAGACTTTGCAGATGCAAGGAAAAACTTCAACTTTAATCGCTAACAAGTTACATATCAGGCTCGTTAATAGCTCTCTAAAACATTGATCTCTTGAGAATAGATTTGATATATTTGTAACGGGGTGGTTTATTTATTTCGCCATAACTGGTACTTGGGAAGCTAAACTGTGCTAGTAGATCCTCGCTTAAACGCATGTAATTTTGAGAGGATCAACAAAATAAACGTGTTGGACAGACACAGTGCTGTAGTCTTTCAGACAAGCAGGAGTTGACTCAGGCTTCATGGACCTCTGCAAAACGAATGCAACGCATGCTTCTATTAGTTTGTAATAAATACAATAACAATAATAATAATAATAATAATAATAAATAGATTTTTAAAAATTTATAATACATCACACCCTGGTTTTAGTCTTGTACATAAAACCCTAATTAGTTGGCTCAACTATTTCCATTTTTCAGTGTCCACATTAAACTTAAAAGCTAAATCACAGACATTCAAATAAAGTATACGTATTTGTCTGTCATTCTATTCGTTGACCTCCCTCAAAAGTGCAGTGTGTGAGTGTTTGAGAGTCGCGTTGAATCTATGTACACGAATTAATTGATCGTTTCTCTTAATTGATTGGCTGATTGACGGGCTGACTGACTGACTGACTGACCGACCGACCGACTGACTGACTGATTAGCTGACCGACTGACTGACTGACTGACTGACTGACTGATTAATGGCCGTTTTCACACAAGAGACGGATAATCCGTCTATTTTAGACGGATAATCGGACGGATAAAAATAGACGGATTATCCGTCTAAAATGAACACCGTTCCGTTTTCACACTAAGACAGATTATCCGTGCTGGACGGATAACCCGTCTTAGACGGATTATCCGTCTCTAGTGAGAAAACGGCCCATACCAAGACGGAAAATGTAGCAGATGGATAATCCGTCTAGACGGATTATCCGTCTCTAGTGTGAAAACGGCCAATGACTAACTGATTGACTGATGAATCTAGATGGATGGATGAAATTAAGTGCTCACCGCAAAAACAGAAGGATGTGGTTTCTCCCATTCATTACTCGGGATATCAAATGGTCCTCCCCAGCCAAAGCCAATCAGAGATTTTGTTTGCTCACAGATCAGCAGGAAGAACGGTAAGGCCTTGTCACAGTCAAAATCAATGGAGATGTTGTAATGGTAGTGGACCCCTGTGGAAAAATTCACCCAGACACTGTTGCTACAAGAACCAGAAAAATAAAACTGTCCATTGTGTCCTGGGACCATCGAGAAACGCAAACCCAGATCTTTACGCGGCGGCATATTGAGGTATGAAGACTCACGTATGGTTCACTCGACGTTAAAAAGCCGAGTAGATTCGCAGTTTAACAGATTGGATTAAGTAGAGCGATTATCATGGTTAGGTAATCATACTCATAACGGCGTCCTTATGTTAGGGGACCAGTCAGCGTAAAACTCAAGTGAAAACCGCTCTAGCTAATAACGTAAACCAACGAGAAATTGAAGCAAATGTAGGTAACCAACCTCAAATGAGGAAAATAGCGCGAAACCAAATTTTCGAAGATTGCTATTGCTTTTGATGTTTCATCTGAATTCAAGAATCATTTTGGTTCGTTGTTAGGTAGAGTGACTTTTTTAACCAATCAGAAAGCGTAGTAATGCAAAACCCAAACCAACACCTAATAGTAAACCGAATTATCTTCGATACTTAATCGATTGAAAAAAAAAACTTGCTAAAGACAAAGTAAAGATTCATTTTACCCATTGCTGTAACGCAGGTTCCCTCAACCCACGGTGTGCCGGCGATCTGCTTGGCGTTCAGCGGTATCACCATGACCTTTTCCTTTTTCCGGAAGTCAGCCATCTGGATCCACAGTCGATCTCCTACTGGCGGCTTCTTTGCCAAGCGCTTTTTACACTTTCCTTTGCAAACGCAAATTTTCTGGGGATCCCGGAAATAGGCGGTGACAGCCACCCGCCCATCATCTGTTTGGATCCATGGCGGTTCGTTGTGGATTGTGGGATAGCTGTCTGTTCGATCGATCTGAGCGTGAGAACAAGCTATCAGTTATTCCGGTACCGTGCCCTACTTCTATTTGAAACTTACACCCCCATCATAATAGAATACATCACTTCTCCAAAACTCGGTTACCGATAAAAAATAACAGGATAGTGACGCTTGCACTGACTCGAACTCAGTGGCTGGGGCAGATCTAGTCGGGGGCGGGGGGGGAGTTCGGGGAGTTCGACACGCTAACATCGCCTCGGAATGCCGGAAATCCCATTTCCGAGGACCTCAATTTTAAAAATTATCCGGGGGAACATGCCCCCGGATCCCCCTACAGCGGACCGGTATCTCGAATCCCCTATATCCGCCCCAGCAGTGGCCCGGCACTTATGAGATATGTCTACATTTTTCCAGATCTAAACGTAATACCCCCTTTGAAGTGAAAATTACACATGTTTCAACTAGGGGACCCCCGTGCGCAACATGAAATGTTTTCAGTGCCAGTTCCGCGGTTCAATTCTCAGTTGAAGAACGAAGAACATAAATGCCTTTGCAGTGCTGGCACTTAACTTCGGTTTCTGTAACTGATCATTAGAATTATGCACCAGATTTCAGCCTAGCTTATTTATAAAATAACTGAGATACTACGCGCGCGCTCATTGGTCGATAGTTGTGTTTAGATGAAAGTATGTAAGCACGGTTGTGACGTTTTAGCTTCGCGGTATTCTTGAACAATATTTTTTAAATGCAATAGGGCACTTTTTCCATGTTTACGTGCATAAATGGGGGAATTCTTGAAGGTTATGCAAACTCAAGTTTGCATTAAAGTCTCGAATTCTCTGAGTCCCCCGCGTGTTTAGATGATCGAAGCTATATGTAAACACGAAAAAAAGTACTCTGCTGCTTAAATCTTTCTCACGTTTCCATCTATTTATTCATTTGGAGGGACAGAGGCGTGACTCTCATGTACGTTTATCTCGGCCTAGCTTGAATCTGCACCTTTCGATGTAGAGTCCATTGCAATAACCATTAACTCACCCGTAGTTCATATACCGTTTGCATAACACAAGAGAACATGATATTTCCTAAGGAAACTCTGTGACATTTTAGTTAAGAACTCAAAATCAGATTCTCTTACAGTTGCCTGCATTCCGGCTAAGCTGCCATCACAGTCAAAGATGAGTCTTGTAGCATCATCGTTAGCTTTCACGTAACGATTGCCGTAGAAAAAGTTGGCACGCCCTGCAGAGACAGTGAAGAAGCGTATATATGTACAGCTAGTTGAATATAGACCACATGTTAATCGTTGATGAAACGACACTGCACAGTATTCAAATTCAATGTATGGCAAAGTATCAGTGGCACAGAACTAAATAACACCCTGAAGTGAAGGCTATATTAGTTGGGAGATGACAAATTTTCATGTAACCATTTAATAAGAAAACCATTGCAATATCAAGATGCTTTTTTTTGATCGGTACCTGAGCAAGAGGCATCCTTTTTCCAGCCGGCGGCTCTAGCTTGTTTGGCGGTCAGTGGATAAGAGGTAAACTTACCAAATGTTACTGAAAGAAAAATCAACAAATGTCAAGTTGTTATGCGTCCTGTAAATCTTCTTCGATCTTTGGTTACCCCGCTCTGTGTTTGAAAATGATACGAGATTCGTTCGTCAAGAGAATGATGTTCTATCATAAGCAATTTATTCTAAACATTTTTTTAAATCCCTTTCTTAATTCCCACTTTGTTTCCTAGACATGAGAGGAAAACTGAATATTTCTGTATAATTAAGAGAGGATGAAGGGAAAAGATGTAATCTCTCATATTTATAGGCGTCATTACCGGCCGAGCTAATCTCTGTCAAGTTATTTTTAGACATGGTACCAGCTCTTCCGCGGATAACGTTAACACGCGCGTTGCATGGATATTTTCGTGAAGGACCAAAATGCACCAGTAGAGGTCCACGTGAGCAAAACCGGGTTACAGGATCGGCTATCTCTTGGCCTGAGAAATCTGACACCGGGAGTGACCTAAAAATAACTTGAGATGGATTACTTTGGGAATAAGGCCTAGTTGAGGGGTTAACTCTCTCACCCTTTATCCTCTCTTGATTCACCGTATTATTTGAAGGCCTTGTTATACTAACCTCTCAATTGATTCCATGATGATGTGCCTATATAAAAAGAGACATTAAAAACCATTCATTGCAATTATTTAAGAAATGGAAAACATTTACCATGTTTTGATAGAGTTAAAAATAAATTACAATATTTAGGGAGGAAGCCACATCAGCCTTAGCCGGTTTTCATGCGGGTCCTCCGTCCTAGTCGAGTTGGAATTTGAAGGTGTTGTTTTTTGTGTGTGTGTGTGGAGGGAGGAAAACCGGAGACCCAAAGAAAAACCCTCGAAGCAAGGCGAGAACCAGCAACAAACTCAACCCACACATGGCACCGGGTCAGAATCTAATCCGGGCCACATTCGTGGGTGGGGAGTGTTATCACCGCTGCGCCATCCCTGCTTCCTAGAGTGTAAATTTGGAAGAACGAGAAATGCTGTGAGAACACGAGCTAAGGCACGTGTTTCTTCAGTTCCTGTTTGGTTATGGAAAAAATCGAAAAGGGGCTTTTATCCCGCCTTCACACAGGGTTTTCATGATCAGATATGGTTTCTAGCTTGTGTAACATGGTTGAATATGATCACCCATCAAGTCTGCTTAAATCTCGTTCTGGCTAGCTTTGGCGTTAAAAAGATAGTTATAAATCCCTGGTTGTATGACAGAGTTCCAAATTTCCCTCTGCTTTGAATTTAAACCTACTGATTATTTTTTCGAAATTCGGTTGTTGTTTTTTTCAGCTGTTTGGCCCACTCTCACTGAGAGTGAAAGAAAACTGTCGGGTATCCAACTGTCTTCGTTCAACTTTTGGCGACTGTTCTCGTTCAATCAGGGCGGGGTTTTTTAATTGCCAAGGTTCTCCAAACCTTGCCTTAAAAGGCAAGCGTTTGCTTTAATTTGCGCAAAGTTCCTTTTTCACCTTGGTGTCATTTCGTTTAAGTTGTGGCGAAAGCGGCTTCATTCATCAGTTACCAAAAATTAGATCAGTCATACTCTTATGATTTTAACTACCACAATTGTAACAAATGTTGATGAATAATAAGGGTGTAAAACTGCATAACGGTCTCTGTTGTGAGCTCGCTCGCTACATCGCGGTCTCTGAGAAAAAAACGGTGAATAATAAAGGGCTCGGTTCA